TCCTCTGCGCGAGGCTAAAAGCATAATTTTACGTAACAGTAATGCTTTATAGAATATTTGTAGCAGTTCCGACAAGCCAACCTTAAGTACAGTGTAAAGGACGACTGTGGCCACAATCGCAAAGAAACCGATTAGGCCAATTGTGAGGAACGTCACTCCTATTACATGTGTGAAATGCCTATAGTAAGAATTTACAAAACGTGAACATGATATTTCAATTGACAAAGTGAACAAACTTAGCAAACATGAGTCCATCCAGTTGATTCCTTGTCCTGTCATCAAATACGGCCGTTTCGTTCATCCATAGCGTAGGATAGATCATATTCTTCATATATGGGAGGATGCTACAAACACACGGCCACTTTAGTAAATGAACACTGTGGCGAAGTAGTTCAGTGATAGTAATAACGAACTAAAGTTCCCCTTTCGTCATTCCGATGTTGATTTGCGTGAGTTTATTCGCGTGGATTGGGACACCACTGGTTGGCTCTACTTTTACAAAAGTATCGTCGTCTTTCTTGCTTGGTGCCCGCATGCCGTCAACAGAGGAGATAACCTGAAAGAAGTTACTAAGTCCGTCCTGCGCCAAGGCTGTTCCATGATTAAGCGTACTGCGCGATGAGCATTGAAGAAGTGAGGCTGCGAGATGTAAACACGTGGCGATCCTGGTAGGCAACGACTAATGTCAAGCAACCCCTTCGGTAGACAGCCAGCTTAAAACATATTCCCGTAGACCACTTCGTTTTCTGTGAATAGAATAAAAAAATACATACGAATTTGCACAGTGGTATTGAAGTATGCAGGTGTGTTCTTTTTATTACAGTATCCGCGGTTCTCAGGCACATTTGGGTCGTAAATATCCGAAGGAAAACCGTAACGGAAAGCAGCTATGTCGCGAAAATCAGAGCGTTCACGGAATTGCATTGTTACTGTCCTGAACAGGTATTTTACTGCCTGTTGGAAAATGAAACCAATAGCAGCTATACCTGCAGATTGGACCAGCAAAAACTTCTATTTGTCTACCCTCTTGAAGAAGAGGTGGGAAAAGCTGACCATCTGTGCCTCGAATTTCGCGTGCGTCCATCGAATCCCACACTTCCTCAGGAAACACTGTCATGTTGTTGTAAGTATGAACCTAAATAACGCCGGTCAACAATAGATCGCGATAGATCGCGTTTTTCTATTATAATTTGAACAGAATGTATAATAAATTTTTACAAAGCTTGCCTCCAATTCTGCCTTTCTTTTTGAGGAGAATGATCATAAAACGTGCTTGATGACTGCTACAAAACTTTCAGACTTATTTAGGTGATGGGCTATAGGATATCAAGTTTATCAAGAGTGCGATGGAAAATAGAGGGAAAAGCGGATATCAAACTGCTTATGCTTCTTTGCCTACATGAAC